TCTTTCCAGTCAAACCGAATCTAACACTTGAAATTAGGAAATTGTGTATATAATGGCATACATTTTTTAAAATGCACTTTAGTTTCTGTTTATCCTCTGGATACCAGAGAGACATTTAATTTCACCAATAAAAGAGCTTCCTAAACACAGAGAGATTTCCCAATATGGTGGACTTTTCAAAAGCAGTAGCTTTGGTTGCACTTTCACAAACACAAGTAGATGGTCAAGAACTGACTTAGACTCATGGAACTGGAAGGGAAGAAACCAAACAGCTTAGTGTTTTCACATGGCAGATAAGAATAAAGAGAGTTGGGTTCTCTCAGGTACCTTGAACCCCTGTGTCTCAGCTTTCAATCCAGTGGCTTTTCTACATGTCATAGAGACGCCACCTGCACAGCCCTTCACACACTCTCTGCCTTCCTCTTCCTATAGGTAGATGGAGACGGCTCAAAGAAGGCACTAACTCCTATCTCTGGATTTCTCATTCCCCACTGAAACCCCAGTTCTTCCTAAGAAAGGTTAAATCCATTCTCTATATAAGTTTCTTATAGTGAAATTATTTGACAAGACAATTAATCTTGAGAAACAACCCGAGGTAGATGAAATTAAATCATTTTAATACTTTTATTTCATTAAGCAATTCATTCCCTTTATGGATTCATCAATTCCTAGTTATTACAGAGTGTTAGGACTGGAAAGAGCTCTGAGAATGAATAAGATAAGCTTGATTGGTTCACCTATCGGTAGAGGCCATGTCCTTAGTTGGCAGAACCAGAAGCTCCCTTTTCATCTGTCTTGAATTAAAGAGATATTCTACAAAAAAATTAATGCTTTTTATAGACTTACATTTCAGGCATTAGTTTTAAAGAATAACAATCCAAGACATAGAAAGTTAAAATTATTTTTTTCTAGTCTGCTAGACAAGGCCTGCCTGTAAAAAATTAGACCTACCTTGCATTTTGCAGGGGTCCTCAACATTTTTAAACAGGGGGCCAGTTCACTGTCCCTCAGACTGTTGGAAGGCCAGACTGCGGGCCCCAGGACAAGTCTGCTAAGCAAGACAGGCAGCGGCAGCAAAAGCACCCGGCGGGCCGGATAAATGTCCTAGGCGGGCCACATGTGGCCCCCGGGCCATAGTTTGAGGACGCCTGGATTAATGGAAAATGTTCCAGTCCCTGCCTTGTTTGAACATAAACCTCCTGCTGATTCCTTTTCCATCTTGTTCATTCTCATTCTGTCTTCTAAACCCTGGATACTCTTAGAAGCTGCCAATGAAAGCTCAAAAAGTTGAGTAGTTTTGAGGACCCATGGAGAGAGGGGAAGGGAAAAAGGAAGCTAAGTTTTGGGGGGTCAATTTAAAGCTATAGGTAAAAATTTTGTAGTGTTTGTAAAAATGCAATTTGAGGGGAAATTAAAGAAATGTATTTACCACTAATTTTCTGAGGCTGTTTATATATTAAAAGTTATTACTATTTTAAGATATATCATGTAAGATATGAAGACCTAGTGAAAACAATGTTTTTTTTTCAAATATACAGAACTTTCTCCAATGGACCATAAAGCTTATTTTCTCCTCCCTTTTGAGTTGGGTCCGTTGTCCTTGTCTTTGTATCTTTAGCCCCAAATGCAGGTCAAGCAGGGACAGTTCCTCGGGTTTCCACAGAGGGGCAGCAGCATGTGGGGGACAAGAGAGTTAGGGCAAGCTCTGGCCCCAGCTTGAGAACATTTTCTGATTCACACTGACAGATGAAGCATGAGAATTTTAAAGCTTTCAGTGGGCATGGCCCTGCCCTGGAACAGCTCATCCTCCACACCCAGGCCATCAGCGCTTCTAGAAAGCTGCTATTCTTGTTCAAATGAACCCAGGTCACTAGACCTGGTATTTCTGCAGATCTTTCTCCTGTCCTCTTCACAAGAGCAATTAGGACTGCAGTACAGGTAACTAGGCCCCAGGAAATGTGGGGTTGCCTTCCAAGAAAATCTTGCTGGCCAGAAAGACAGTGAGAGAAGGCTGAGGGCACCCTGGCTGCAGGGTGGACGACTTGGATACAGGGCCTTAGCTGTTGTCTCCTAGTTGTGAGTCCCAGGGAATTGGTGCCCATCCTCAGGCATGACAATGACATGTATCCTCCCAGAATTTTAGTTAAGAGGGAAAGATGTAATGGAAGCCCTCTAGGCCACAGAATGCTGCCATGATTTTTACTAAAGCCCCATCATAGAATAAATTAAGAACACAGTGATTTGACGAACTGCACTCCCTTCTTAAGCTACTTGGAAAGATGTTAAGTCAACAATCTTAACTCTGGAGCCCATGATATCTCAGCATTGCAAGAATAAATTTAGCCATTTGAAATACTGGAAAGAAAGAAACTTACTCTTAAGGTCTGATTCTTCTCCTTGGAAAGTTGACCCGAGGCCCTCAGCCCGTAACACACATGTAGGAATAGAGTTTCCATCCATGTAACTAACATTGCATTTTTTTTTTTGAGATGGAGGTTCACTTTGTCACCCTAGGTAGAGTGCCCTGGCATCATACCTCATAGCAGCCTCAAACTCTTGGGCTTAAGTGATTCTCTTGCCTCAGCCTTCCCAGTAGCTGAGACTACAGGCACCTGCCACAATGCCTGGCTATTTTTAGAGACAGGGTCTCACTCTTGCTTAGGCTGGTCTCAAACCCATGAGCTCAGGCAAGCCACTTGCCTTGGCTTCCCAGAGTGCTAGGATTACAGGCACTCTGCAGTGGCAGATGCCACCGTGCCTGTCCATTTCATGTTGGTTAATATAATATAACTGATCACGTTTTTCATGGGTACATTAACTAGAAGTTCCCCCTGTGTGCAATCAAGGGCTTCATCATCCATTGTGGACAAGAAGATATTTTAATTAGCCCTTTGATACCTACCTGCAACTCATAAAATTAAATTCCCAAACACCAAAGGGCTAGATCACTCTTCTATACTAATCTTTCCAGTCCCAGTGGCACATTACTTGCCTGGAGATGGAGAGGTAGAAAAATGATTTCTGTTGATTTTGCTTCTTTCTCTAATACCCAGAACTGGGCAGGGGTCACCTGGTTAGTAACAGCCATAGAGCATTTAAAGGACTTTGAGGTGTTAAATTCCTGACTCCTTTCTCTTCTCACAGCAAAAGGAATCAGTGCCTGAGTGTCAAGGCCAAGGATAAGCTTTTGTAGCCCTGCTACCTCTGACTCTGTGGCTTCCCCAGTCCTATTGATACCCCACTGATTTTACTTCTCTCTTTCCCTAAGTCGGGGGCTACTGAGGGTCCCTTTCACTTCAGCCCACAAATTTCCGTAGCAACTGGGAAGCAGGTGATCTCATCAGTATCCTCAAGATGGGAAATCTGAGCATGCTTTAGGTAAGAACGTGGACTTGAGGCTTCCAACTTTTTAGCCGTGAATCCTGCAATCCCTATTTTAGACAGAGCAGATGTCCAGGGGGCCCAGTTACTAGGGGGGATAAATGAGGTCAACAAGACTGAGATCCACACACTTGGACCAACTCCCAAAGCGCCTCTCCCCAGAGAAATGACAACAGCTCTGAGGTTTTGGCCTGTCCCTGGAAGGCAGGAGGGGAGAGTGGGAAAAGATGGGCTTCTCGAGTCACCAGACCAACATTAAAGTACACAAACAACGGTTGAGTGACCCTACATGACAGAGCCTGGGCTGTGACGCAGGGATGTGTCGTTCCTCCTAAATCCCTGTAGGAAACGAGATACAAGATTTGGATGGAATGTAAACTATGTCTTAAGGAAGCAAGCAAGAACATCGCTTTCTCTGAGAGTTCCCTTCTGGAGAGAACTCAGGCTCATCCTTCCTCACTGATTTTTAACTGTGGCTATGCAGGCTCCCTGTTAAGAAGAGAAAAGGGAAGAAGGGGTGGCACGCAGAGGCACGCAGGAGAGAGACCTGAAATCCGGATGAAGTGGTCTTCCCTCTAATGCCAGGGAAGGCCCCTTTCCCTATGTGAGTTTCACGCATTTCTCCTGTAATATTGCTAAGTACTTCCTCCATACTGACCTTCCACACAAGTCCCCTCCCTTGATCTCACCACCCCCACCCTCCCTCACGTCCACCCTTGTCTCTCATATATACACAGGGTGCAGAATTTCAGGGAAAGGAGAAACACACACACTCAGTTTGCCCACCCATGTGAGCAGTGCACCTGACTTTTAGGCTCCAGCATGATGGGGAGCTTGGGCCAGGTGTGGAGGAACAAGAAGCTAACAGAGCAGGTAAGGCCACGATCAAAGGCAGAGGCCATAGGAGCCGGAAAGACCCCAGAGACCACACAGAGTGGGCTTTCTCTTTCTTGGTGCCAAATGGGGGATCACATTCAAGGAGACACATCCACTTGACGGTGGAGGTTGAGGGCCAGGGGAAGGTGGGAGGTAGATGAGGGCCCTGGAAGGTGAAGGGAGGATGGGGCTGTGCCCCAGATCTAGAAGCCTCCACAACTCCTGGAGCCTCTCCCACTGTTCCCAGTGCCCACTCGGGAGCCCAAGCTCAGCTTTGGCCCTTGCCCTTTCCAAAGGAAAGGGAGGATTCCTGCTCAGCCACTTCTAAATTCCCTCAAGTGAAATTGGAGCTATGAAACTCTATTTCTCAAGCAGTTACAAGCCCCGAAGGGGTATGAGTACGTGTCTGGGTACCTCCTTTGTCCTCCTCTCTCGTCCTCGTTTATAAAGCGTACCCTTCCTTCCCCATCTTTTCTTCTCCCATCCTCTGCAAAAATCTAGGGAGACAGTTACTGTCTCCTACCAAACAAAATGCTGCTGGTGGCTGGGAAAGTGGCAGAACACGGAGGACAGAGCCCAGCACTGTGGCTGGTGGACACCTCCACTAATAGGTGAGACCTAGCCATGCAGAGGGGAGACCTGGGGGCAGAAACCCACTGTGGTGGCACGTCTGTACCCCTGGCCTCCTTTCTCCTGGAGGGAGGGCTGGAGTTCAAAGAATTCGGACACAGGCTAGTTCCTACCTTGAGAGGCAGAGCAGCAGGTGGGGCTGGGCAGCCTGTGCTGGTCTGGATGGCAGGGCAGTCCCTGTAGACCCGTGCCCGTGTCGCCAGCGTTGAAGTACCTGTGCCTTCCTCACAGTTCCTGGGGAGCACCTGGCAGGTTGCAGCCCCTCTCCTCCGGAAAGCCCGTTCCCTGTCATCAGCAGCGTGGGCCAGGACGGCCCGTGGAATGGAACATCCCAAGGCATCCCCGCACAGGGTGTCCATGCCCCACAGGTCCTGGGGGACAGACGTGGTTGGCCAGTGCTTCCAGAGCATGCAGGGATCACTGCTTCCATCGCTCATGCCGGGAGCTGGGCTAGGACTCCTGCATGGCAGGGGCTCTTGCTGGCCAAGTTTCCTAGAGGCTGGGGGCAGACAACGCCTGAGATGGGGGGAGCCGCAGACACCACCCCGGCTTGTATCCAGGTCCTGGTGCTTTTCCTCTCCCGCCTTCTTTTCCTTTGGAGCAGAGCAGCCAAATGCAGCCTCTCGCTGTGTCCTAGGGCCTGCCTCCTGCGGCAGCCTTGAAGGAGAAGCAGCCAAACCCTGTGTTCTCCTGAGGTCCCTGCTTGCCAAGAAGCCCGTCCTGGGACTTGGGAGAATGTTTCTCTCCTCCAGGCTCCCTGGGGCTGCTGTGCTGGCTGCAGAGGCTGGAGACTGGGCGGGGAGAGCCCAGACAGGGGGAGCCTGCAGCTGGATGAAGAGGAAGGAAGTTTTCATCTGCTGTTGCTGAGGCTGCCCAGCCATTTCCTCCAAGGGGGTAGGGCTGGTCCTTGCCAAGGTCGAGTTTCAGACCTCGGTGCCCAGGGATGCAAACAGCTGTAGCTGTGGGCAGATGTGACTCAGCCCATGGTTCTGCCGATAGCCTGAGGAAGCAAATGGCACAGTTTCAGTACTCAGGGGTACTCTTCAAGAAAGGGGGATTCAGGACATGGTCTTGACCATGGAACTGGATTCTGGGCTCATGTCACAGAATCACAAAAACAGACTGGTGGAGAATGATCTATGAGGACCGTTAGAACTTAGCCCCTCTCACCTTCATGTGTCTAAATGGAATGACTTTTTCTTAACTTATGTCTCCCTCATACTTGAAATGAAAACATTATTCATTTCATTGTTTAATCCTAAATTCTTTATTAGCTATTTTTATTACTTGGTGTCTGACCTGTGAAATACCAAGGTATCTAAATGATGCCTCTGATAGACTTCATAGGGTATTTTTAATCTACTTTGATTGAGTTACTTTTACAAAATACTTTTAAGACTTTTAGCATAAAAGGCATAACAAACAATTGTCAACAACTTAAATGTTTTAATGAATTTCCACTTTAAATCCTGTGGTTATTTGAGGGTTCTCCAGGTGGAGCCTCACAGCCCCACATCGGCATACTTGGTGCTATGGTTTAAATGGGTCCCTTCCAAAATTCAGGTGTTGCCAAGGTAATAACATTAAGAGGTCATGAAGGTGTCTACCTTCACCAGTAGGATTAAGGCCTTTATGAGAGAGGCTTCATGCAGTAATCAGTCAGGCCCTCCTCCCTGTGAGGACACAGTGCTCCTCCCTTTCAGAGGGTATGATCCTCACAGATGATTGAACCTACTGCTGCCTTGATTTTGGACTTCCCAGCCTCCAAAACTGTGAGAAACTAAATTTCTGTTCTTTATAAATTACCCAGCTGTTGTGTGATGTTCTTTCTCGCGAGGAGAGAAGGACGGCTTGGCCGTGGGTGGAAGCTCGCTCCTAGAATTGCTTGAAAGCAAGAAACGACTACACACTCTCAGGTGGCATGTAGCAAAATGTCTTTATTTTCTACTCCCTTTTATCCGGAGCTACTCACTTACACCACATTGATCGGTAATCCTAACATCCTCATTTCTTATCTTAAACTATAGAAAAGAAAGAAAGAAAGTAATCCTAGCATCCTCATTTCTTAAACTATAGAAAAGAAAGAAAGTCCAGGAATGTGAGATAGTCTTCATAAGATTAGCCTAAAGAAAGAAAGTCCGGGAAAGTAAGACGACCATCTTAAGGTAGCCTCAGACTATTCCTCTTGGAAGATCTACAAGAACAATACATCATCTGACTTGTATTGTTGAAGTTAAAGGTTAGGATAAACAGCGGAGTAAAACCTTTCTCTTCTATGTACTCAATTAAATTTCCGAGAAACTGGCTTCATGCCTGTTTTCTTATGGCTTTGGAGACCCTGCAGTTACGATGGAGTATTTTACTCGACATCATTATGATGGAGTTTTTCTTTTTACTCACATCAACCTTTGAGTCATGTCCTCTGCACAGATGGGCCGTTTCAACCCTTATCTGACAGGCTGACTTGACTGCACAGTTGGGGTTACCTGCAAGAGGTTTTTATGCCTGGCTTGGAGGCCCCCACCGTGTTTTCCCAGGTCGCTTAGGGCCTCGACAAAAGCACATAATACTCACAAGTCTTTTCACTCAGTTCTGGAATTAAAAGAGCACATCTCATTTAAATAAAAATAAATAAAATTAAATAAAAATAAATAAAAAATAAATAAAATTAAATAAAAACCCAGCCTATGGTATTGTGTTATACCAGCACAAAATTAACAAAGGCACTTGGTAGCATTCTTCTTCCCCACCATCCCCCCAAAAAGAAAGAAAAAATAGAAAGAAGAAAAGGAGGAAAGAAAAAAGAAGAAAGAAATAAGAAATAAAAAAATGCAGATAATACATCAAGCTAGAGGACTTTTTTACTTCTTAGCATAGTGCCTGGTGTAGGTTTTCAATAGATGTTAACCATTCTAAGAATTTACACCCACATGTTGTTGAGGTCTAGAGAAATTGGATCACTCAGTCATGAACACTTTGAGTTGTTTCATAAAATATATAATTTTTAAAACCTGGAATGGTAGTTATAGGCATGTTTTTACATTTCCTGTCTAATGAGTAAGCATCTAAGAGCTGAGGACTTAATTGGGATATGAAAGAGTAAGCAATGGATTTGGGGTCAGGAGAGACAGGTTTGAGTTCTGGAGTAAACCATTTATTACGTGTGACTCACAGCAAGTCTCAGAACCTTGGTGGACATACTTGTAAAACACTAAGGTAAACCTCTGCCATTCCCACCTTTCAGAATGGTTTTGTAGGTCCAATGGAATAACCTATATAGGAGTACTTTGTAGACACAGAAGCCATTCACAAAAGTGGTACATGGTCACATGCACATAATAATGTTTTGGTCAATTACATACATGATAATGGTCCCCTAAGATTATAATGGAGCTGGAAAGTTCCTATCTCCTGGTAATCTAGCCATTGTAAATCTGTGGTACAATGCGTCACTCACATGTTTGTGGTGACACTGGTGTAAACAAGCCTCTGCACTGCTAGTCCTGCATGTATAGGACATCAGTTTGTAACACTTGACAGTGACAATAAATGACTGTGTTACTGGTTTATGTATTTACTTCACTATAAATTTTACCCTTATTTTAGAATGTATTCTTTCTACTTATAAAAACAAAAGTTCACTGTAAAACAGTCTCTGTCTGACAGGTCTTTTAGGAGATCTTCCAGAAGAAGTCATTGTTATCACAGGAGATGACAGCTCTGTGCCTGTTATTGCCCCCGAAAACCTTCCAGTAGGACCAGATGCAAGGCGTGGAGGTAGAAGACAGTGACGTTGATGATCCTAACACTGTGTAGGCCTAAGCTATTTTGTGTTCTGGCTTTTAACAAAAATGTTTAAAAAGTAGAAATAAATTTTAAGAATTTTAAATAGAAAAAAATTGTAGAATGAGGACATCAAGAAAAAATACTTTTGTGCAGTTGTACAACTGTGTTTGTCTTTAAGCTAAACGCTAGTACAAAACAGTCAAAAAGTAAAAATGTTACAGTAAGCTACAGTTAATTTATTATTGAGGAAATAAATTTTCAAAAACAAATTACTATAGCCTAAGTGTACAGTTATAGCAGACACCTTCTGGAGTCACTGTGTTCACGTTGGTTGTGACCTGTTGGTTATTCATAGCCTGATAGGAATGAAAAGGGGTAGAGACCAGAGTATTTTCTGCTACCAGGATCATGTGTGGAAAATGAACTGTATTCTTAAGTCAAGAAAGAATGAAAGACAAGACACAGGTGGTGGGTCATGGGGTTGGGGAAGAGTTTGGCAGAAGTGAGACCTGAGTGCTGGGGAGGCAGAAAGGCAGGGAGGAGATGCCAAGGGGATGGGCAAGGGGAGTGAACTGAGATAGAACCTCAGTTCACAGTGAACTGAGATAGAACTGTCAGAGAATGCCAAGAATTAGAACTGACCATCTCTACTCATGCCTTACCAAGTAAGACTTTGAGATGTTCCGGAATATTCTATCTGCTAGTTAGAACAATATCTTCAGAGTTGTAGCTTAGTTTCTTCTACTATTGTAAGGAAATTTGTGTAAAGGTGAGCTTGATGATGTGTAAAAATGATGGTGATGACGATGACAGCCACTGTCTGCTTTAACAATATACTATTGATGATATGACTTACTAACAGCAGGAATTTGTTCCTCACAGTTCTAGAGGCTGGGAAGTACAAGTTCAAGGCGCTGGCAGATTTGGTGTCTGGTGAGAGTCAACTCCTCATAAGTGGAGTTTTCTCACTCTCACTCTCACTCTCACTCGGTGGAAGGGGTAGGGGGTCTCTCTGCAGTCTCTTTTATGAGGGCACTGATCTTACTCAGGAGGGCTTGGCCCCCATGACCTAATCACCTCCTACTGGCTCCATCTCCCAATATCATCACCTGTTGGGGGGCACAAGGAGTTCAACATTTTATATGTATTACTTCTAATACTCAGAATAAGGTAAATATTAGCATTTCTGTCTCAAAGACATGGGTGCCGAAGCCTACGGAAGTGAACTTGTTTGCCCAAAGTGACATAACCATCTTATGTCTTTGGCTTTTCCATGGTGCTGTGCTGCTTCCCAGTTGATGTATTTAGGAATCAACTTTATCTATTTTATAGATGAAGACCTGAGATTTGGAGAAGTTGCCAAAAAAGAAAACTTGTCTCATGTCTTCTCCCAATACCACTGCATAGCACCCCCCTCACCCTCTCCTTAACCTTCTGTTTTTTTCCCCAAAACCAATCCTCATGTGATCATTTTTTGTCTCTCTCCAATAAGCAAGCCCAGCTGATTTCTTCAGGAGATGACACCATGTCAGCTATTTCCCTTGTGGTCAGTATTTATGGAACAACCAGATGGGAAAGCTTGGAAAACATTCTAATTAGAAAGAACCTTTCAGGCTCAGCATCTGTAGCACAGTGGTTACAGTGCCAGCTACATACACCAAGAGCAGTGGGTTCAAACCTGGCCCAGAACAACAAAAAAATAGCCAGGTGTTGTGGTGGGCACCTGTAGTCCCAGCTACTTGGGAAGCTGAAGCAAGAGAATTGTTTAAGTCCAAGAGTTTGAGGTTGGTGTGAGTTGTGATGCCATGGCACTCTACCAAGGGTGAGATAATGAGACTCTGTGTCAAAAAAAAAAAAAAAAAAGAAGGAAAGAAAGAAAGCAGCTTTTATTTTCATCCTGTTTCTATTTCCTTAATAGCCCCCCACCCTGTGCACACATGGGCACGTTCTGAGAGCCTCTTTGTATTTTCAGTTGATGTGTGCCCACCCTGGCATCAGATCACACAGAGGGCTGCTTTCGAAGTAAACAGAAAAGTGTTTAAACAGACCAGATGGAGAACTGGCCATGGGGAGCTTAAATGCTCTGTTCTGTGTC